GCGGTTGCGACGAAGGCAGCAGAACAGCAAACTACGGTTGCGATGAGACAATGAACTATGGTTGTAATAAGAACAGATTGCTCAAAGCGCTCCTGTGCCTATATATTCACCATATCGTATCTCATCACCGGCACAAATCCATCTGAACTCGATCTCCCATCACCACAATGTCGATCTTCCTCTCGTGACTCCCGTCGTTTTCGATCCATTTGGTGCCAATCAAGCCAACCACGTCTCCCAAACCCATGATGGCTTTCTACAACCTTCCGTCCAACGATATCCACGAAGAGATACACAGGTGGATAAGCGAGAGGTTCTGCAGATTGGAAGCTGGCGCAGACTCTACCGGCAAGATCGAGCTGCGAGGGATCTGGCGGATCGGCGAGCACGCACTCGTGAGCAACGCAGACGCGCGCAGCATCAACTTGGCGGGTTTGGGTATCATGGCTGTCGACCTGGAAGGGCTGGAGGTGGACACTCTGCGGTGGCTGGACGACGACATGTATTAGCAAGGATACAAGGCCAAAAGAGAGTATCGTGGATACGAGCGGAGTGAGGGTACAATGGGAATCCCTTGGCGCAACGCTCTCGTAATCACCCAGATTCTCCGGCTGAGCCTTGCATACAACCTAGATCAGTGCCGTGTCTAAGGAGACAGGTATCGTTCCTGCGGGCAGACTGGCAGTGTTGTAGGCTGGCTCTCTACCTTCGTGGCGAGCGGTCATCTAATCCGATCGAAAATACATTTTCTTGCGCGTGGCTGTGGTAAGCATGTTGTCTTCCGACCTTACGATAAGTGACGCACCTTTTGTCTCTTGCGGGCGCGCGGTTTTGGGTGAGATGATGCATTTCCATTGGTTGCGGTATGAAGGATGACAAGGAACTGTGGGCGGGGTCTGCGGTAGCCTGATAAGAAAACAGTAGATTAGATGGGTCCATAGTAGCGGTGAGGTAGCCGGCAGTGTGTTCGACAGTTGTGCGGGAAGTAGTACAAGATGCAGGGCTTGCTTACTATAGACTAGTGTCCTAGGCAGGGACCGGGACGCCTCCCACCTGGAGAGGTGAATTTGCAACTTACTGCTCTTAGCTACAAATTGCTGTAAACATTATATGAACATTCTTGCAAATCACTTACACTACGTTCCTCGCCTAGTAAGCAAATATGAGAATTGTAGCACTCAACAGCCTCCCTCTCGGGGACCACGAATACCTTCACCCTTCACCTTCGTTGGTGTATGCAATGATTAGGCTAAGGAGCAAGAAGTAGCAACAGAGATACGATGCACCACAGCTTATTGGATTGCATGATTAACTATTGTACATGAGAGTCCCCCCCCCCTAATCGTCGGCCCAGATCATAGCTTCTGTTCAAGAGGTAACCGATAACTGTGTGCACCTGCACACCATCATCAAGAAGGAACTACAACTTCCTGTCACTCCCTGCAACTTTGTGTCATTTACCAGGGGTTAGGGTAGGGAGAGAAGGGCGGTGGTCTCGAATCCAGATTCCTCTTAGGGTAGTAGGATACCAAGGGTACCGAGCTCCCTAGCCAACCAGCAGATAGCGCTATCCTTAGAAGCACGTCATCTGCTAACTTTACTTGGATGTTCTTCTTATCCTTACAAACTGCGAACAAGGTCTGGAGAGCAGCCCATAAACCATCTCTCATGAAGTAAGGGACCTGGTAGTTTGTACACACTTCAACGATGATCTTTGCGTTATCGTGTGCGATGGAGGTGAGGAGGCGAAGTCGATAGGCTTGGGCGCGTGTTACCACCGGATTCGCGTCTGGATAGATGTTCATACGGACTTCAATGTTGCTAATCCACTTTGTTGGAACTACACCATATTGGCATGGATTGCTACCCAGAAACCATGGAACAAATTCTTCGTCCACTTTGAATCTCATTCGGCTATACCAGTTGGCGAGATAGTCGGGGTAAGCGGAGCCAAGTAACTGGCGCTCGTCGCAGCGCCACCGTTCGATTACACCGAGCCTGCTGCTGAGTGCTAGACAGCCGCCGAACGATCGCCGAACACTAGTGTCCCATAGGAGTGCATCTAGTCCTCCATTTATATGCCCCCAGTCTATAAGAAAGTCATCCGTGGGGGTGACGTATTCGTAAATCATGTCCCGAATCTCTTGCGGTAATCTTTGCATCATGTTCTCTGCCGTCACCCGGGCGCGTAAAACTATGTACCGTAGGCGACAGGTTCCTACCAGAGCTTGCATGCATTCCCACTTGGGTGATGTGGTTAGGTCGCGTGCAATGTTGGCTGCTGAGGATTGAGATCCAACGTGAGGTGGATGGGTATAGTCCGCCGGAGTTGTGTTTGCGAATGCATCGTCCCACATCATCTGCATCCGTGCGTGGAGGCCGAGGATCTTTTGTTTGAGGTAGCGGAAATACACATCTGGGTCTGAGGTAGCCGCGTCTTCCAACCAGGTTGACTGGCGTGTTGCCATGGAGTTGATAGGATAGTCGCGAGGGTACATGGCAACATCGATAGGGTCCTGAGGTTTGTGGCACCTTGCTCGAATCTCCTGTTCGAAGTCATCCTCGGTCTCTGAAAATAAGTCGCTGGAGACGATGACATCCTTTGGCGAGTTGTGGTCGGCCATGGTGGTCGGTGTAACTGGAACGCATTTGATCAGTGGGGGCTGAACTAGTTGGTGTGTTGCAGTGACTTACGTGAAGTTGCTTGTGTGGGTAGAAAGTGAAAAGGTAAATGGGGAGTCCCCGCAATAGTTGAAGGTGAAGCGTGCTGGTAATATGGATGGTGGAGAGATGGGTGGTAGAGAGGTGGAGCGAAGTTCCGTATGGGAGAGTGGGAGAAGTGAAACAGATTTTTCTGTTGAGCCAAGGATGAGCAGTGAATGTGAGTTTGCTTGATGCCAAGTCAACAAGCTGTAGCTATACCGCCGTCTTTAGCATTGTTGTTCGCAGAAAAGCGAGAGAACTACCTGTTATACTAGGCATGGTTAGAGGGAGAGTGTAGCATTCAGAGTGGGAATCACCCGCGGCAGTCCAGCACTGTGGAGCTATCTGCGAATTGGGAGAGAGAGGTGAGGGTAGGGATATATTGAGGTCCCAGATTAATAAGGTGAATCTACAACAGATTATACGTAGCGTATGGAACGGAATCAGTTCAAAATAGAGCAACATGGTCCTGAAAAGAACAACAAAAAGATTAACCATTCGAAGCTATAGGGCATTTGAGCCATGTCATTTCCACGCTATATCCATTTTGGCAGGTAAAAGTTATATAAGCGGCAACTTCTCAACATATGAGAACTGGAACTGCCCACAAGGGAGACGTAGTGTCAGACAGATTCTGCGCATCAAATGTCTAATTTTTATCACTTCCAGGAGTGTATTCGAAGTAAGAAGTCTTCACCATAAACATCATCTCATAATATCCCTGCAGACCTTCTGCATTCTCGTCCATATGACTATCGCTCGCTTGACTTTTTTTTCCCTCTGTTTGCTATATAGCGTATCAGATCAATTATCTCAGAAAAGAGTGGCAGGCCATACCCCACCCTGCCAGAATCGGGTATCAAAAAAATGACTTTACAGTNAGCAGAACAGCAAACTACGGTTGCGATGAGACAATGAACTATGGTTGCAATAAGAACACATTGCGCAAAGCGCTCTGCCCATCCATTCGCCATATCGTATCTCATCAACGGCACGAATCCATCCAAACTTCCATATGACTATATATGGAGGAAATCGAAGCTGGGCTCTACATAACATGACCATCTTGCAAACAGTTTACAGCTACAAGGGATGCTAGTGTTGCATCGTCCCCCCGATATATTCCCTTGAGAATTTGAATAAAGTTACACTGCCACAGCGACTTGTTTGAGTGAGTGCGAGAAAAAGGTTGATACAGGTGGTTATCGACACTTCTACGACCTACGCGCTACTGCTGCAACACTGCGCACTGAAAGTGGCAGGCTCTATACCCACTGCTGTCCTGGACCCAGTCATTTATCTGTGCAGAAATCGGGAATTCTGGGGGGTAGCTTGAGGAAATTAAATCATATCAAGATCTCGATTTACCTTTTCTACTTTGGTAGCCGTAGCTGCTACCGCAATCACTGCGTGCTTTTACCACCTATTACTGCAAAAGTTTCAATAGCAACATATCTATTACTGAGAGCCTTGTTCGCTGCAGCAACTCACAGTAAGATTCTTGAATTCTCTTCTTGTACACTGTGTACGATGGTAACGGCTATCTACAGGCTTCTCTCACTTTGTTATGTACTACGTACCCCACGCATCCATAGAAAGCGAAGTGCCCAGACAGCGCCCATCCACGCGCCAACTTCTACCTGTGCCTACTCACCTAGTTATCAGTGACGCTGAGCGCTGCATGCCAACCAAAAGTTCTGATTCTCGGCAAACCTCAATCCCAACGCCAACCTAAGACGGAAATAGACCAACTGTATGTTGCGAGCTGCTTGGCGAAGCGGCAAAGTGCCCATCAATCCAGTTCCTGGTCGACACTTCAACAGCACATTGAGTCTCTGTGACAGACAATCTAAACCCATCAATTGAACAGCTGCCTGTTTTGATTGTCGTGCCCATAGCTTTCGATACGGTCCCCCGCTGTTCACCACCATAGAAGAAGGCGACAATTGCAGTAAGGCTGCACAACCACCATTTGTCGCTCGTCATCACTGCGGCTTGCCGGGAAGTATTATCCGGTATAATCGCCTCATCTCGGACGATCCCAGCACGGGTTCATCTTCTTGCCGACAGACAGATGTCAAACACGAGGCCGTTGAAGCTGGCAATTTCACGATTAATTTATAGTCTGCCATGCAAAGCAGTAATAAATACCAAGATAAGGACATTGACAAATACAAAGCTTAGGAAGATAAAAATACCGCAGCTGTCATCCCGTTTGCAAACGTAGGCGAGCCAGACATCCGCTCCTAGATAGAGAAGATAGATGTGTTACGGCTCCCATTCAAACGGATGTATATGGCACCTTGGTACGTCACTGGTATTACTGGCTATCTCTGGATCCCCCCGTACACATGACTAACTTTGTACGATAGTTTTCCTTTACGCTTGCCTAGCGACTTCGGCCACATCAAGATGTCTTTACCAAACATGGGCGAGATTCTCATTATCATGAGTGAAGTAACGCATTTCAGGTCACATTGAGCTAGAAGCTCTGACGTCAGTCGACACGCAGGCCTCGCGTTCACTTCACACCCAGAATGAGCGTGAGGCCCGTACACACCCCAGGCGTACGTAACGCGCTAGTGCAATAACAACTCCCTGCAACAGCACAACACGGTCTTCTGCCATTCAAATCAACTCTAAATATCGCACGCCTGGTCACACATAACGTAGACCGCCCGCAACTCATCGCTGCTTTGAGTCACGAAGACGGAGCGACGACGGCAGGCGGCTGTACGCTGCACAAAGTAACTGCACCTCACTTTCTTAAAAGCTTTATCGCATCATCAATGGTCTTGGCTAACTTAACAAGGATGTCAAACCCTAAAGTAGCGTTCGATACTGTAGCACACGACGTCCCATTCCATCAAGGAACAGTTGATGTTCACCGATACGAAACAGATGCATATATAAGCAGCTTCTCATTAAGAATCATTCTTGGCGATGTTTACTATGAGAAATTGGAGGAAAACTACTCTACGTTCAAACATCAGCTCGACCCGAGGATGTTATCATTTAAGAAGCTGGTAATCGAGATGCAGAAGCCTAAATACAACTTAGGTTACGTCTCCAACCAGCCCAAGTTGTACGACGGATACCGAAAAACTCAAATTTCAGATGACGAGGGCCTCGAGGCAATGGTCAGATTCCAACTCTACGGCAAGAAATATCCAGCTGTTCGCATACTAGTCGATGTAGAGAAGACCGAGGAGCCTTCCAAGCAGGGTATCCGTATGCGCACACTAGAGGACAAAGGCATGGCTTTGCTAACGTTTTCTAGTCGTGCATAGGCAGGAAACTCACAAGCTATCAGCCCGGCCCGTTCCCATAAGTAGTGCAAGCGCAAGACAGGAAGGTAGCTCTGGGCACATATCCCGACCTAAACGAAATCAGTCTGGAAGCTTATCGTGTGATGTGATCGACCTGACCAAGGACGAACATGGACCTACCCCACCATGTAAGCGAAGCCGGTTGGGGGACCCAAGTCGTCAGACCAGCAGTGAGCCTGCTCTCATTTCATCCTTGCAACGAGGCCAGTCCGTGGGTCACCCCAGTGGTCAAATCAGCCTTCTTGACAAGAGTCAACCTAGCCGACCAAATGATACAGCACCTAATCCATCGCCATCCGAGTCTGCAAAACAGCAAAGTCTCTATCAAAGCGCCAAGGCGCAGGAAAGAGACAATGAACTCTCTAGTCAAGCTACTCCGCAGAAGCACAAGAAAGGGGGTGACGACACAGATTCTGAGACAGAGAAAAAGCGCCAGCAACGCGAGGAGAAAGAGGAGCGAGAACAGCAGTCGTATGAGCTGTGGGCACGGTATGTGACATCTTGAGGCAATATGTTCCTATACTTATACGACATGTAGTTCGCGAGATGCGATTATCAAAGCCAAGGGAAAGGCGATGGAACGCTGCACCCTAGATGAGTGGGAGACAGCAGGGGATTTCTTCGGCCTTGAAAAGGGAACACTACGAAAAGGAGAACCAATCAAGCTTCACAGCGGCTGGGATATCTCAGGCTCTTGGTTCCCCTATCAGCTTGTCGAGGTATATCAACTCTACATGATGGAACTCTCCGACCGCAATGGCTTCATCTATGGGAACATGATGGGTCTTGGTAAGACTCGGTCGTCCTTGGGCATCATTCTAGTTGGATATATCCACCTTCTCATGTGGCTTGATAGGATCGACAACCCTAGCCAACACATACGCTTCGACGCATCGGAACTTGGCGCCACCCTCGAATGTCCTTCACAGAGCAAATTCCCCTTCACTTGCTTCTGTAACCCAAACTCACACATCTACAAGAAGGAGCCGCGAATAGCCCCCACGCTAGTCAGTGGTTCAGGCAAGTCATCTGATGCGTGGAAAGATGAAGTTCTGGCAATGGGTCTTCTCAAGTCGAAGTGGTGCAATCCCAATCAGCCCTTTGCACTACGTGTGTGTGCCATGGACAAGAAAGCTATCTTTGGGCTCGATGAATTGTCGAAGAGCGAGTGGGTCGAAATGAGAGTTCGAATCGACGCCCAAAACGCACTTGATACCAGGAACAGCAGAGTGAGGCCTCAAGAGTATGTATACAACAAACAGAAGTATTCAGAGACTGTCTATTGGGATATTCAATCGCCAATTGAGAACCATCCTCGCGCCACTCTCGAGCGACCCTCTCCAACATCAGGTCGTTTTATTCTAATATGCGGAGAGCACTCCCTCAAGACCCGGATTCTGGACATGTGCCGTGTCTTTGTAGAGGTGCAGCGCGACACACATTACAAGAAAGGCATACGTCACGAAACAGAACGAATCCAGGCTGATGCATACTCAGTTATATGGGGCCGGACAATCTTCGATGAGTTTCACAATAGCAAGAGCGAAGATACTCAGTTCGCTCAGCTCTATAAGCGAATGCGCATCACTAACCGTGGCTATCAATGGAAATCGTGGGCAATATCAGGAACACCAATGGAGAATGGTTTGCGCGAAATGCTGATCTTCATCACTTTAGCTCTCAGGGGGGTTGAGAACGATCATGGAGTGTCCAACTGGAAGAAACAGATCAAGCAGAATGGCGATCTGGAGTTAGTGTCGAAGAACTATGTGTACGACCTAATCGAGAAGACTGTTACGGCAAATTCCAAGCAATACCTTAACGGCATACACATGAGCAACCGATGGCGGAAGATTTCGGAAAAGGCGGCCAAGACTAACGCCGAAGAAGCAATGAAAGTGGATGATTATAATCAACTCCTCGATGACGGCGCTCAGGTCATCTCCCATTTCATGCTGCGGCGAACACTTCAGACACGTGACCCATGGGGAAAAAGTATCACCATTCTCCCCGGGATGTTTGAGGTGAAAGTAAGGCCATGTAATAGTGGAAATTGGTCTAGGACTATAGAAGAGATGGTCAACCACTACCTTCCCGGAAAGAAGCCTAGCGATATCTTCTCTCGCTCGGACATGATAGCGATTGGTACATACCCCGGCCTAGCGGCATACAAGGCAGAGCTTGTAGCTGCAGACTATGAGAATAATTATCACTGCCTTCATAGCGAAGCGCTACAGTCTCAATTCTGCAACCTAGAGACTGCACCATTCAAAGACGAGCTCGACAATCTCATCAGAGGCAGCACAAAGCTACAGCAAATCACCGAAATCTGTCAGGAGGTCATGAACTCACAGCGCCCGAACCCCAAGTACAGCCGTAACGCTATAACCTCAAACGAACCACAAAATCTGCCTGCGAAAATTCTCATCATGACGTACAAACCAATAACGAGCTTGGTTACGTATTTTGCACTTAGTAGACAGTTCAAGCAAGATAACGTACTTCTGTTGCCTGGAAGCTTGGACAGAAATACCTTGAAGGAGCGACTAGACAAGTGGAAAGATCCTACCGGTCCGCGAATCATGGTCCTTTCAATGTCTTTCGCAGAGGCAATCACCTTGACTGAAGCGAACTATATTGTCATCATGGAGCCTCAAGACCGACAGGCAAAACAGGAACAAGCGTTGTTTCGCATATACCGCATCGGCCAGCTAGCAAAGGTTTGCTACGGGTTCATCTTGTTCAATCCAGAGTCTGAAATTGAGGTTGGCATACTTAATCGGCAGCGGTTTAAGACGATGTCACGAGACATGATTACGGAGGCTGAAAAACGAAAGATGGTGACGTCGGCACAGATTGACTGGGAAAATACGGTGGATGATGTGCCATATGAGATTGATGGATTGACTTGCTAGAGAAAACAGGAATGTATGATTATGCCGAATAAGAGGAAGACGGTCGTGCGGAGATGAACTACGTCGGGACTCAACCACCCCTGTATCATACCTCTCTTATGAAAGTATAAATCCAAATGTCGCGAAAACTATTCGTTTCTTGAAGTATAATTCAGAGTTAAATAGACAGATACCTATTGCTGAAGGTTGCGTAATAGATGAGGTGGGAGAGAGGCAACATTAGCGGCGGAGGAGATCTCTACTGGGATTGGCAGCTTACACGACAGACTTGGCCTCAGACAAGATGAACCAACGCCAGGAGTGCGACTAGGAGAACACCGCATTGTCGTTCCAGTACCTAATTAGAATGGATTGGCAAGAGTGATGAGATTAGTGAAACTAACGGCTAACCAGATATGGCGGATGTATATCGGATCGCCGCTACGACTCAATACCACTCTAGACGAAACATCGGTGTAAGGAGGCGATTGAATTCTAAGTCTTTGACATGGTGAGTGGCTTCTTAATTGTTATCGCTGAAGTTAGAAAGCAGAGCCAGTAGCGGATCTTTTGTGCAGTCAGCACCCACATCCCACATAATGTCACTGACTATTCCCATTGGCCCACTGGACAGTTGGT